CCCTCTCTCCTCTCTTTCTCTCCTCCCCCCCTCTCTCCTCTCTTTCTCTCCTCCCCCCCCCCCCTGCCATAACCCTCACCAATTTTGGCCCGGCTCCTCAATACCTCCCCTACCTACATAACCTACACATGTGAATACTATGGAGCAGGGGTAGGCAAACTCAGAAATTACAAATCTTATCATGACTATGCCTCTAGGAGTCATGCATGTGGCTGTCAAGAGTCTTGCAACGCCTAACGAGATTTGTAGTGGCACCACAGCTCGGGGGCCCGAGTTTGCCTACCCCTGATATAGAGTGTAGACAAAGTCCAGATGTGATATTCCTGGCTGTGTCTGGTCTGCCTGTGGTTTGAGGCTTCCTTTTCCTTATGGTGAGACTGAAGCACTGGTAACATGGGATAAGAGTGAGGTGCCAGGCTGAACAGGATTCCATGTACTGGCTACACTATGAATACATGTGAAACATTCCAACCTGGATCCTAAACTGCAATGTAGGCTTATTTATTCTAGGTATTTATATAGCGCCTTCAACTTTGGTGAAATGGTCATCAGCAAAAATAGAGATCGTATATCTTCCTATCAGGGACCCAGACAGCAAGGGATCTAGTTCTCCCCAACTCCATCCAAAACGAAACAGATGGTTTGTCTGCAGACTGAGGCAGGCCGGTGACCGTACTGTTTGGTTTATCTGCAGTGGAGAAAAGTGAGGTCACCGATTCAGCTATACAGGCTGGCAGTGTTCGGTGTACAGAACTACAGATATATCACTTCCACAGACATGTATTTTATTTGTGTATATTCTTGGAGTTTACCTGTCAATAAGAGACTCTCTTTCTTGAGTGAAGCCGTTACTTATTTTGCTCTTAATAGTTATGGTTGACAGTACCTATGATTTTTCAATATAAGACAACAAAATCACCTCTTTTATAAACAGCTTATTTACTTATTTTATCTTCAGTAACTGTAGTTTTGTATTGTTCGTACCGCTGTTTACACAATAACGATAACATCTTTGACATAAAGAAGACATATCTAAGGTAAAACATTTATCTGAAGCCACCCCCCTTCTACTGTATTTTTGGGGATGCAGTAGAAGGGGGGTGGGCAAACTTGGCACTCCAGCTGTTGTGGAACTACAAGTGACATGTGGCATTGCAAGAACCTGGCAGCCACAGGCATGACTTCCATAGGCATGATGGGATTTTTAGTGTCACCACAGCTGGAGTGCCAAGGTTGCCTACCCTTGAAGGAGAGAATAGTTAAGAGACCTATGGGGTAAGTGTTTCTCCCCATAGTTCTCTTTAGTGCCACGGGAGGACATATACTAACCTCCTCCCGTGACCCACAGCTCAGTATATAGCGGGCTATTGCCTGCGATATACTGAGAGTGCCGCAGCTGGGACAGATCCCGACATTACTGTCTGGATCCACACAGCTGCGTGAGCGACAGCTGGCTTTGCCTATCTAGAGGCAGAGCCAGCTGTGGCCAACCCCTCCCCTGTCTGTTCCTCCAGTCAGAGCTGGAGGATCGGAGAGGGGAGGGAGGAATCCCTGCGGGGAGCCGTGACTGAGTCACCACTCTCTGCAGGGACATGATCGGGAAGTGAGCGAGCGACGGTATGTGTTCGCTCACTTCCCGATCAATAGAGCCAACCTGTGACAGCTTCTTTGTCACAGGTCGGCTCTAACTATGAGGATGAGTGGAAAACACGCACCTCATAGTTCACCTTTAAAACCCCCATAGTCACATGGGTTTCCTCATTAGAAAATGTCCCCTCTATTCCCTTTCTCACGGCAACTAAACTTTGGAATTTGTCCTGGATACCATTGCCATTAAGCCAAAAAAAGCTGGCCAGACTTTTGGCTGCTGATGAAATTCAAGCTGTGGGTGGCCCTGTTGGGACATCTTTGGCTGCACTTACTGTTTAGTCATTAAATTTTGCCCCGACCTCTTCGACCAATCAGCTGCCATCACTATTCGGGTATTCTGACAGCTGCAGGTGACGGCTATCAGGATGCAATAGCCCAACCAGGGAAATAAATAGTGCGGATGGGGAAATAACACGTTTGTTCCTCGTTTAGCCTCCAGGACTGAATAAAAAGAAACACAAAACCTAGCAGTGTATGGCCAGCTGTAATCTCTCTAACGGTGACACAGATGACAAATAAAACCTGACAGGGCTTCCAACCTCTCACCAGTTTTGGCTTTATGATGATACCTTGATGATGATGATGAGTGGCACTGAAGGGTCACAAGCTGATCACCTCTAACGTACTACATAAATGTTCTCTGTGTGTGTCAGGTGAGAAGCTCCGTGTTTTGGGATACAATCACAATGGAGAGTGGTGTGAGGCCCAGACCAAGAACGGACAGGGCTGGGTGCCCAGTAATTACATCACCCCCGTCAACAGCCCTGAGAAGCATTCCTGGTACCACGGACCTGTGTCTCGAAACGCTGCAGAATATCTGCTGAGCAGCGGGATTAATGGCAGCTTCCTGGTTCGGGAGAGTGAGAGTAGCCCCGGGCAGAGGTCCATATCGCTGAGATATGAAGGCAGGGTTTACCACTACCGTATCAACACTGCTTCTGATGGAAAGGTAAGAGGGCTTCGCTCTTATTGATGGCATGATGGTGATTATGTATTCTTCTTTGTGTTGCATTATGAGGGGGTTACATGCAAGTTTTATGTGATATGGATTTCTCTTCCGTTCATTGAAGGACACAGGGCAACTGATCGTAGATCCTGTACTGTAGGCGATCTGTTGCCCTGTGCCCTTCAATGAACGGAGAGAAAAGGATTTTACGGTGAGTACAAAAATCCTATTTTTTTAAAATAATTTTGAAGTTGTAAAGTCCCAGCATATCCTCTCCTGTTTTAACATCAGCATTGTAATAGGAATACATACTAGAGTTGTTTTTCATAATGCAATCAAAGCAAAAGAATCCATTTTATGTAGCGAGTGCTGCCTTCCGTCTGCCTATCACATTCACCAACTTCCTGGATTCCAAGTGTGCTTTGTGTCTTTTTCCCTGGTGCTTGATGTGATGCAGTCTCCATTTCTCAAGACTTCATATCCCATCATGCATTGCTTCCAGCAAGCAATGATAATGTTACATTGTTCGGGCAAAGAGTTGTAGTTTAGAAGGCAGGCTCTGTGATAGTTGTGGCACAAGGATGCCCACATTCACATAGCTGAGTCAAATTCAGTGCATTGAAGAAGTACATGCTATGGGCATCTTCAATGAGTTTACAAACTTCCAGATGCATATGGTTATCAGGAGCGGTATAGAACGTATGATAATTCAAAATAGTAATAAAGATTTATTTTTAGATGGTGTCTGATGGCCACAGAATACTGCTCTCATCAGTGACCACTTGCAAGCATGCCACCTACTTATCCATCTCTGCATTTTTACTGATTCACCAATTAGTTGTGCGGTTAACATTTTAGCAGTGATCTGGACACTAACCACCCACTGTTTGTATACCCAGTGTAAAGGTTCCCATAGACATCACACCATCGTCTGACAGTTTAGCTTGTTTTCACTCTTCAATGTCTGTGGATTAAACGTGAGTGTGTTAAGATGAGTTGGGAAACCTATCCCTATGTCTAGGATTGTATTCCCCAGGTTCCCTCCTTCTCTTCTATTGCCCTAAACAAGAGTGATCCCGGTTAGAGGAGAAATTTCACAGGAGTATGTTGTAAGACTTATTTTCGAGGCATACCCAACCATTCCTTAAAGTGACATTAAAGTCAAAGTTTTTTTCCCCTCTTCCCAATCCTGCTGTAAGGACTTACCTTTAGGCCTTGTTCATACCAAATGCAGACCAGATCTGCATGAGTTTCTGCACACGCAGTGCAGTGGGTTGTGCCGCGTTTTTTGGCGTGTTTTTGATGCGTTTTGGGTCGTTTTTTTTTAGTTTAGAATGGGCTTTCACTGCGTTCCAGGGCGTTTGCATGCGTTCCAGAGCAGGTAAAATAGGGCTTGCTGCAGTTTTTTTTACATACTCTGGAACTGAACGCTGCGGTGTGAACTAGAGCCCAAAATACCATTGGAATACATTGGAGGGAGTTTTGATCCGCCCTGTAACTGCTCTGCTCTGCTCCTGGAACGCGTTTGGTGTGAACAAGGCCTAAATGATGTCTCTTAATCCAATCTTCTTCATCTTTCCTGTAGTTTTTAGCTGTCCCTCCAGCGCTGGTGCGGGTCTCCGATTCAGCGCTGACTCCTCTGTCCTCCTCTTCTCATGTCCCACCGAGTCTGTGCGGGGGCACGCTGCTCCATAGACTTAGCTTGTGTCTCTCCTCGTCTCCCAACCGAACATCTGAAGTGCGCATGCGCCCGCATGCGCCAAGATCCTTTGCGGCGACCAAGACTCTTCAGATGTTCGGACGGGAGCGCGCGGTGCAGACATAGGTACGTTTTAACCCTTTGAAAAATGTTTTTTTGGGTTTTTAAAAAAAATGTTTCTGCATATATCTACTGGTTGCCAGTAGAAGATATATCTAAAAACACGCGAGGGTTTAATAACCCTTTAATGTGGCCAAGTTATGCTAATATTCACAATAAAACAAAATACTATAAATTCCCTTTAAAGAAGAACTCTGTGAAAAATTAAAAAAAACTTACCCTTGCAGTGGGGCTACCCCCTGTACCGAGGATTTAGTGCTAGGGGGCTCAAATAAAGCAGATTTACATAGCTGATCCTCAGTCCCGCCAGCTCCCTCCTGACTGCTAGACCGGTACCTGCAGCCTCTCCTTCCCTGGGCTCTGGAAGTCTATGGAACATTGGTGTCATATTGTCCATTGACCTGCATCATGCATGAGGATGCCGAGGGACATTCAGTGTGATGGTAGCTCCACTGCAAGGGCAGATTTAGATTTTTTTTTCTTTAAAGGGGTTTACCACACGTAGCAAAAAGCCATCTGTCTGCTGATTTGCTGTCTGTAGAGGGGATAAAACTTGCTGCTGCGACCATCTATATATGAACGAGAGAAATCACACGGATGGAGGACTCTCCTCTGCTGACTATTGTACTTACACAGCTGTCTGAATACCTGAACAGTACCTGCATCTGATTGGATGCAGTCACTGTACGGCTGAAAAATCGTCCACCAGGCTCCTTTGGTTTTTGTGAAGCCGGGCCTCCCACAGCACAAATTTCAGCTATTCGATATGAATTGTCCCGAATTCAAGCCATGTGTGGCCAGCCTCATGTACTGTGACTGTTCCGTTGTAGAGTGGAAATACATGAAGGGGATGTAAATATAAAGAGAATGGACCTCTGTGTCTAGAGAGTTGCCGTTTCCTTTGCGTGAAGGCATTTCTTTCTTCCGTCTGTGGAAAGTTATTGTGTGCGAGGCAGGCTTCATAGATTCGGAGAATCAGACTCCAGGGGAGGAGGTTACTCTGAGGACAGAAGATGTTGTTCTGCTCAGCATGCCTGGAAGGCCACTCATACTTCTTCCTCACTGCGAGCTCTTCAGCCACATGCCTGACATTCTGTGCATAAGTTGCCAGCTCTGGGGAGCCATGTCCCGACGGCTGACTTCCACAGAGCTTGTAACATGATCAGCTTTGCTCTACAAGCTGCTGATGGACATAATAAGATAATAGAAGAATATTTCCACAGTCATTTCATAAGGCCGCATCTGCTTAAAACTCAACGCCAAGAACATGTATCAAAACAATATCATTTCATCCTGTTATTTGCTGATTACAAAACCATTAAAGCTGAACTCCAGGCAGATCTAAAATATACAATTAAATAGCATTCTGTATTCATTGATACATTATCAGATGATGTTTTTAATGCATGCAGTGTCAGTACCTGAATTTGCCAAGTATAGAGCACAGAAAGGGAGAGGGAGAAGCAGCACAAGCAGCCAGTTGGTTGTGCTACAGTTCTCATGTGTTAAAGGCGTCATAGTTCTAGCCGACCTGTGACAATGAGACTGTCACAGGTCGGCTCAGTAGATCGGGAGGTAAGCGAACACATACCGGCGTTCGCTCACCTCTCAATCCTGTCACGGCTCTCTGGATTCCCTGCACAAGGAGAGAGATCAGCAGTGACTGGTCTTTATCAATGACAGTGAAAACCACGCTAGGATGCTAATCCACCGCTGTGACAGGCAGCAACAAATTAGTGATCTCACCAACTAGATCTAATAATACAATATTGTTGCTCTGTGTCTATATTTTTCTAGTATATGTCCATTTAGCAGTAATAAATCTTAGTGTATCCCGTGCATTATTCAAAGCATCTTTTAAACATTAAATTCAATATTTGGGTGCATCAATTACCAAAACAGTCTTATATTCCTCATAGTCCACATGAGACACCCGTGTTGCATTAGGTGTCCATCATAGGTAAATAACATGAAATTAACAAAATATGTTGTGAAGTAATGAGTGCTAATGGCCCCGTGTGTAACTTTGTTCAAAGAAAATTGTATCCTTTAAACCAGTTCCCAGCATTGGACAGTAACAGCTTATTCTCATTTGACTAGATGGTTTCCTTTTAATTGCATAGTGTTGGACGGGTCGGTTATCCGTGCTCCTTAATGATTTTATAATTGCACTCACCAGACGTATCTTTGTATGTGTGTTTTCAATCAAACCAGACCAGAGTTCCGTTTCGCGAGTGTCCAAAATGCTTGGCTTCTCTCTTCTACGCCTCCGTGCTCCTCTTCCCGTAATCTCAGTGTCTTACATTCCGATCTCCTCCCCGTCTAATACTCCACTTTTGTTTCCTATTATTCCACGGAACTCAGGGGGACATAAAAAGAGGCTTCCATTGCGCAGTATTTCGTTAAAACAATACACGTACAAACTAGTAGATAAAACAGGCAGCAAAAATCCTTGTATTCATTCAAATGCAGGCAATGGGCGTAGACTCCACACTGACGCGTTTCATCATCTGACTTAAAGGGGAGTAGACACCCCCCTTTTGAGAGTCAGATGACAAAATGCGTCAGGAGAGTCTACGCCCATTGCCTGCATTTGAATGAATACGAAGATTCTGTTTTATCTACTAGTTTGTAAGTGTATTTTTGGGGAATAAACGTAATTATTACAGGAAGCTCCTGCACAGAGGCAAAGGATTACTGCACAGATCTGGAATAAACACACAAACAAGATTTAAGTAAGAATTCGGGGACAATTTTCTTGTCCCCGAACTCTATCTATTAATATATTTAGAAGTGTTACAACCAAAAAGTTGAAAAAGATATTATCTGACAAAAGTGACCTTGTAATAGTCCTTTGTAACTTGTAACTCATGCATCGTCCGGTCCTTCCTCTGGCACAAAAGCAGTTAAATGTGTTCCGTATGCCAGAATGAAGCACAAGAATGTGGATTCTGGCAAAGAGTGGGCAAACCTGCAAAACTGGGTTAATCCTTATGGATTTCTAAAGCTGGCGACTGGGCATAGCGAGAACTTAAATACCAAATTATTGGATGTGACTTGGCAGAGCGGCGGCTCAGTCTCCGCTTTTCGCAGCAACCACAAACCCCCTTTGGCAACAGATCCAAAGAATCCAGCGTGCCTGTAATCTAATTACTCCGGCCTCCTGCCCGTTCTTAGAACGTCT